GTGTGTGTGTGTGTGTGTGTGTGTGTGTGTGTGTGTGTGTGTGTGTGTGTGTGTGTGTGTGTGTGTGTGTGTGTGTGTGTGTGTGTGTGTTTGTATTTTGTAGTGTCTTGGAAGGCGCGTTGATAGTACAATATACATCAATTGCGTCGGGAGACGTTAGGTAATAGCCTGGGGAGGGGGTAGCGTGACTAGCAACTTGACCTCTACGTTTGCAGTGACCACTCCGGACGTACTGCAGAATTCCACAACAAGAGGACACTAATTCGAAGATCATTGTTCCAGACAGCAAGGCAACATATATGCTAGAGGGCATGGGGGAGGCAGGAGGGCAGACAAACAGCTCACGGCAAGAAAGGAAAGACAGATGGAAAATGGGAAAGGAAAGGGCATGAGGCAACAAGGCAAAGGAGAACAAGCAACAACAACGCTGGAGGACAGGGAGGTGGGTGGGTGGGCACACAAAGGCACGAGACTCGACAAGGCATAGGACAACAGGCAATGGCAAATAACAAGGGCTGGAAGTCACGGGGGAGGCAGGAGGGCAGACAAACAGCTCACGGCAAGAAAGGAAAGACAGATGGAAAATGGGAAAGGAAAGGGCATGAGGCAACAAGGCAAAGGAGAACAAGCAACAACAACGCTGGAGGACAGGGAGGTGGGTGGGTGGGCACACAAAGGCACGAGACTCGACAAGGCATAGGACAACAGGCAATGGCAAATAACAAGGGCTGGAAGTCACGGGGGAGGCAGGAGGGCAGACAAACAGCTCACGGCAAGAAAGGAAAGACAGATGGAAAATGGGAAAGGAAAGGGCATGAGGCAACAAGGCAAAGGAGAACAAGCAACAACAACGCTGGAGGACAGGGAGGTGGGTGGGTGGGCACACAAAGGCACGAGACTCGACAAGGCATAGGACAACAGGCAATGGCAAATAACAAGGGCTGGAAGTCACGGGGGAGGCAGGAGGGCAGACAAACAGCTCACGGCAAGAAAGGAAAGACAGATGGAAAATGGGAAAGGAAAGGGCATGAGGCAACAAGGCAAAGGAGAACAAGCAACAACAACGCTGGAGGACAGGGAGGTGGGTGGGTGGGCACACAAAGGCACGAGACTCGACAAGGCATAGGACAACAGGCAATGGCAAATAACAAGGGCTGGAAGTCACGGGGGAGGCAGGAGGGCAGACAAACAGCTCACGGCAAGAAAGGAAAGACAGATGGAAAATGGGAAAGGAAAGGGCATGAGGCAACAAGGCAAAGGAGAACAAGCAACAACAACGCTGGAGGACAGGGAGGTGGGTGGGTGGGCACACAAAGGCACGAGACTCGACAAGGCATAGGACAACAGGCAATGGCAAATAACAAGGGCTGGAAGTCACGGGGGAGGCAGGAGGGCAGACAAACAGCTCACGGCAAGAAAGGAAAGACAGATGGAAAATGGGAAAGGAAAGGGCATGAGGCAACAAGGCAAAGGAGAACAAGCAACAACAACGCTGGAGGACAGGGAGGTGGGTGGGTGGGCACACAAAGGCACGAGACTCGACAAGGCATAGGACAACAGGCAATGGCAAATAACAAGGGCTGGAAGTCACGGGGGAGGCAGGAGGGCAGACAAACAGCTCACGGCAAGAAAGGAAAGACAGATGGAAAATGGGAAAGGAAAGGGCATGAGGCAACAAGGCAAAGGAGAACAAGCAACAACAACGCTGGAGGACAGGGAGGTGGGTGGGTGGGCACACAAAGGCACGAGACTCGACAAGGCATAGGACAACAGGCAATGGCAAATAACAAGGGCTGGAAGTCACGGGGGAGGCAGGAGGGCAGACAAACAGCTCACGGCAAGAAAGGAAAGACAGATGGAAAATGGGAAAGGAAAGGGCATGAGGCAACAAGGCAAAGGAGAACAAGCAACAACAACGCTGGAGGACAGGGAGGTGGGTGGGTGGGCACACAAAGGCACGAGACTCGACAAGGCATAGGACAACAGGCAATGGCAAATAACAAGGGCTGGAAGTCACGGGGGAGGCAGGAGGGCAGACAAACAGCTCACGGCAAGAAAGGAAAGACAGATGGAAAATGGGAAAGGAAAGGGCATGAGGCAACAAGGCAAAGGAGAACAAGCAACAACAACGCTGGAGGACAGGGAGGTGGGTGGGTGGGCACACAAAGGCACGAGACTCGACAAGGCATAGGACAACAGGCAATGGCAAATAACAAGGGCTGGAAGTCACGGGGGAGGCAGGAGGGCAGACAAACAGCTCACGGCAAGAAAGGAAAGACAGATGGAAAATGGGAAAGGAAAGGGCATGAGGCAACAAGGCAAAGGAGAACAAGCAACAACAACGCTGGAGGACAGGGAGGTGGGTGGGTGGGCACACAAAGGCACGAGACTCGACAAGGCATAGGACAACAGGCAATGGCAAATAACAAGGGCTGGAAGTCACGGGGGAGGCAGGAGGGCAGACAAACAGCTCACGGCAAGAAAGGAAAGACAGATGGAAAATGGGAAAGGAAAGGGCATGAGGCAACAAGGCAAAGGAGAACAAGCAACAACAACGCTGGAGGACAGGGAGGTGGGTGGGTGGGCACACAAAGGCACGAGACTCGACAAGGCATAGGACAACAGGCAATGGCAAATAACAAGGGCTGGAAGTCACGGGGGAGGCAGGAGGGCAGACAAACAGCTCACGGCAAGAAAGGAAAGACAGATGGAAAATGGGAAAGGAAAGGGCATGAGGCAACAAGGCAAAGGAGAACAAGCAACAACAACGCTGGAGGACAGGGAGGTGGGTGGGTGGGCACACAAAGGCACGAGACTCGACAAGGCATAGGACAACAGGCAATGGCAAATAACAAGGGCTGGAAGTCACGGGGGAGGCAGGAGGGCAGACAAACAGCTCACGGCAAGAAAGGAAAGACAGATGGAAAATGGGAAAGGAAAGGGCATGAGGCAACAAGGCAAAGGAGAACAAGCAACAACAACGCTGGAGGACAGGGAGGTGGGTGGGTGGGCACACAAAGGCACGAGACTCGACAAGGCATAGGACAACAGGCAATGGCAAATAACAAGGGCTGGAAGTCACGGGGGAGGCAGGAGGGCAGACAAACAGCTCACGGCAAGAAAGGAAAGACAGATGGAAAATGGGAAAGGAAAGGGCATGAGGCAACAAGGCAAAGGAGAACAAGCAACAACAACGCTGGAGGACAGGGAGGTGGGTGGGTGGGCACACAAAGGCACGAGACTCGACAAGGCATAGGACAACAGGCAATGGCAAATAACAAGGGCTGGAAGTCACGGGGGAGGCAGGAGGGCAGACAAACAGCTCACGGCAAGAAAGGAAAGACAGATGGAAAATGGGAAAGGAAAGGGCATGAGGCAACAAGGCAAAGGAGAACAAGCAACAACAACGCTGGAGGACAGGGAGGTGGGTGGGTGGGCACACAAAGGCACGAGACTCGACAAGGCATAGGACAACAGGCAATGGCAAATAACAAGGGCTGGAAGTCACGGGGGAGGCAGGAGGGCAGACAAACAGCTCACGGCAAGAAAGGAAAGACAGATGGAAAATGGGAAAGGAAAGGGCATGAGGCAACAAGGCAAAGGAGAACAAGCAACAACAACGCTGGAGGACAGGGAGGTGGGTGGGTGGGCACACAAAGGCACGAGACTCGACAAGGCATAGGACAACAGGCAATGGCAAATAACAAGGGCTGGAAGTCACGGGGGAGGCAGGAGGGCAGACAAACAGCTCACGGCAAGAAAGGAAAGACAGATGGAAAATGGGAAAGGAAAGGGCATGAGGCAACAAGGCAAAGGAGAACAAGCAACAACAACGCTGGAGGACAGGGAGGTGGGTGGGTGGGCACACAAAGGCACGAGACTCGACAAGGCATAGGACAACAGGCAATGGCAAATAACAAGGGCTGGAAGTCACGGGGGAGGCAGGAGGGCAGACAAACAGCTCACGGCAAGAAAGGAAAGACAGATGGAAAATGGGAAAGGAAAGGGCATGAGGCAACAAGGCAAAGGAGAACAAGCAACAACAACGCTGGAGGACAGGGAGGTGGGTGGGTGGGCACACAAAGGCACGAGACTCGACAAGGCATAGGACAACAGGCAATGGCAAATAACAAGGGCTGGAAGTCACGGGGGAGGCAGGAGGGCAGACAAACAGCTCACGGCAAGAAAGGAAAGACAGATGGAAAATGGGAAAGGAAAGGGCATGAGGCAACAAGGCAAAGGAGAACAAGCAACAACAACGCTGGAGGACAGGGAGGTGGGTGGGTGGGCACACAAAGGCACGAGACTCGACAAGGCATAGGACAACAGGCAATGGCAAATAACAAGGGCTGGAAGTCACGGGGGAGGCAGGAGGGCAGACAAACAGCTCACGGCAAGAAAGGAAAGACAGATGGAAAATGGGAAAGGAAAGGGCATGAGGCAACAAGGCAAAGGAGAACAAGCAACAACAACGCTGGAGGACAGGGAGGTGGGTGGGTGGGCACACAAAGGCACGAGACTCGACAAGGCATAGGACAACAGGCAATGGCAAATAACAAGGGCTGGAAGTCACGGGGGAGGCAGGAGGGCAGACAAACAGCTCACGGCAAGAAAGGAAAGACAGATGGAAAATGGGAAAGGAAAGGGCATGAGGCAACAAGGCAAAGGAGAACAAGCAACAACAACGCTGGAGGACAGGGAGGTGGGTGGGTGGGCACACAAAGGCACGAGACTCGACAAGGCATAGGACAACAGGCAATGGCAAATAACAAGGGCTGGAAGTCACGGGGGAGGCAGGAGGGCAGACAAACAGCTCACGGCAAGAAAGGAAAGACAGATGGAAAATGGGAAAGGAAAGGGCATGAGGCAACAAGGCAAAGGAGAACAAGCAACAACAACGCTGGAGGACAGGGAGGTGGGTGGGTGGGCACACAAAGGCACGAGACTCGACAAGGCATAGGACAACAGGCAATGGCAAATAACAAGGGCTGGAAGTCACGGGGGAGGCAGGAGGGCAGACAAACAGCTCACGGCAAGAAAGGAAAGACAGATGGAAAATGGGAAAGGAAAGGGCATGAGGCAACAAGGCAAAGGAGAACAAGCAACAACAACGCTGGAGGACAGGGAGGTGGGTGGGTGGGCACACAAAGGCACGAGACTCGACAAGGCATAGGACAACAGGCAATGGCAAATAACAAGGGCTGGAAGTCACGGGGGAGGCAGGAGGGCAGACAAACAGCTCACGGCAAGAAAGGAAAGACAGATGGAAAATGGGAAAGGAAAGGGCATGAGGCAACAAGGCAAAGGAGAACAAGCAACAACAACGCTGGAGGACAGGGAGGTGGGTGGGTGGGCACACAAAGGCACGAGACTCGACAAGGCATAGGACAACAGGCAATGGCAAATAACAAGGGCTGGAAGTCACGGGGGAGGCAGGAGGGCAGACAAACAGCTCACGGCAAGAAAGGAAAGACAGATGGAAAATGGGAAAGGAAAGGGCATGAGGCAACAAGGCAAAGGAGAACAAGCAACAACAACGCTGGAGGACAGGGAGGTGGGTGGGTGGGCACACAAAGGCACGAGACTCGACAAGGCATAGGACAACAGGCAATGGCAAATAACAAGGGCTGGAAGTCACGGGGGAGGCAGGAGGGCAGACAAACAGCTCACGGCAAGAAAGGAAAGACAGATGGAAAATGGGAAAGGAAAGGGCATGAGGCAACAAGGCAAAGGAGAACAAGCAACAACAACGCTGGAGGACAGGGAGGTGGGTGGGTGGGCACACAAAGGCACGAGACTCGACAAGGCATAGGACAACAGGCAATGGCAAATAACAAGGGCTGGAAGTCACGGGGGAGGCAGGAGGGCAGACAAACAGCTCACGGCAAGAAAGGAAAGACAGATGGAAAATGGGAAAGGAAAGGGCATGAGGCAACAAGGCAAAGGAGAACAAGCAACAACAACGCTGGAGGACAGGGAGGTGGGTGGGTGGGCACACAAAGGCACGAGACTCGACAAGGCATAGGACAACAGGCAATGGCAAATAACAAGGGCTGGAAGTCACGGGGGAGGCAGGAGGGCAGACAAACAGCTCACGGCAAGAAAGGAAAGACAGATGGAAAATGGGAAAGGAAAGGGCATGAGGCAACAAGGCAAAGGAGAACAAGCAACAACAACGCTGGAGGACAGGGAGGTGGGTGGGTGGGCACACAAAGGCACGAGACTCGACAAGGCATAGGACAACAGGCAATGGCAAATAACAAGGGCTGGAAGTCACGGGGGAGGCAGGAGGGCAGACAAACAGCTCACGGCAAGAAAGGAAAGACAGATGGAAAATGGGAAAGGAAAGGGCATGAGGCAACAAGGCAAAGGAGAACAAGCAACAACAACGCTGGAGGACAGGGAGGTGGGTGGGTGGGCACACAAAGGCACGAGACTCGACAAGGCATAGGACAACAGGCAATGGCAAATAACAAGGGCTGGAAGTCACGGGGGAGGCAGGAGGGCAGACAAACAGCTCACGGCAAGAAAGGAAAGACAGATGGAAAATGGGAAAGGAAAGGGCATGAGGCAACAAGGCAAAGGAGAACAAGCAACAACAACGCTGGAGGACAGGGAGGTGGGTGGGTGGGCACACAAAGGCACGAGACTCGACAAGGCATAGGACAACAGGCAATGGCAAATAACAAGGGCTGGAAGTCACGGGGGAGGCAGGAGGGCAGACAAACAGCTCACGGCAAGAAAGGAAAGACAGATGGAAAATGGGAAAGGAAAGGGCATGAGGCAACAAGGCAAAGGAGAACAAGCAACAACAACGCTGGAGGACAGGGAGGTGGGTGGGTGGGCACACAAAGGCACGAGACTCGACAAGGCATAGGACAACAGGCAATGGCAAATAACAAGGGCTGGAAGTCACGGGGGAGGCAGGAGGGCAGACAAACAGCTCACGGCAAGAAAGGAAAGACAGATGGAAAATGGGAAAGGAAAGGGCATGAGGCAACAAGGCAAAGGAGAACAAGCAACAACAACGCTGGAGGACAGGGAGGTGGGTGGGTGGGCACACAAAGGCACGAGACTCGACAAGGCATAGGACAACAGGCAATGGCAAATAACAAGGGCTGGAAGTCACGGGGGAGGCAGGAGGGCAGACAAACAGCTCACGGCAAGAAAGGAAAGACAGATGGAAAATGGGAAAGGAAAGGGCATGAGGCAACAAGGCAAAGGAGAACAAGCAACAACAACGCTGGAGGACAGGGAGGTGGGTGGGTGGGCACACAAAGGCACGAGACTCGACAAGGCATAGGACAACAGGCAATGGCAAATAACAAGGGCTGGAAGTCACGGGGGAGGCAGGAGGGCAGACAAACAGCTCACGGCAAGAAAGGAAAGACAGATGGAAAATGGGAAAGGAAAGGGCATGAGGCAACAAGGCAAAGGAGAACAAGCAACAACAACGCTGGAGGACAGGGAGGTGGGTGGGTGGGCACACAAAGGCACGAGACTCGACAAGGCATAGGACAACAGGCAATGGCAAATAACAAGGGCTGGAAGTCACGGGGGAGGCAGGAGGGCAGACAAACAGCTCACGGCAAGAAAGGAAAGACAGATGGAAAATGGGAAAGGAAAGGGCATGAGGCAACAAGGCAAAGGAGAACAAGCAACAACAACGCTGGAGGACAGGGAGGTGGGTGGGTGGGCACACAAAGGCACGAGACTCGACAAGGCATAGGACAACAGGCAATGGCAAATAACAAGGGCTGGAAGTCACGGGGGAGGCAGGAGGGCAGACAAACAGCTCACGGCAAGAAAGGAAAGACAGATGGAAAATGGGAAAGGAAAGGGCATGAGGCAACAAGGCAAAGGAGAACAAGCAACAACAACGCTGGAGGACAGGGAGGTGGGTGGGTGGGCACACAAAGGCACGAGACTCGACAAGGCATAGGACAACAGGCAATGGCAAATAACAAGGGCTGGAAGTCACGGGGGAGGCAGGAGGGCAGACAAACAGCTCACGGCAAGAAAGGAAAGACAGATGGAAAATGGGAAAGGAAAGGGCATGAGGCAACAAGGCAAAGGAGAACAAGCAACAACAACGCTGGAGGACAGGGAGGTGGGTGGGTGGGCACACAAAGGCACGAGACTCGACAAGGCATAGGACAACAGGCAATGGCAAATAACAAGGGCTGGAAGTCACGGGGGAGGCAGGAGGGCAGACAAACAGCTCACGGCAAGAAAGGAAAGACAGATGGAAAATGGGAAAGGAAAGGGCATGAGGCAACAAGGCAAAGGAGAACAAGCAACAACAACGCTGGAGGACAGGGAGGTGGGTGGGTGGGCACACAAAGGCACGAGACTCGACAAGGCATAGGACAACAGGCAATGGCAAATAACAAGGGCTGGAAGTCACGGGGGAGGCAGGAGGGCAGACAAACAGCTCACGGCAAGAAAGGAAAGACAGATGGAAAATGGGAAAGGAAAGGGCATGAGGCAACAAGGCAAAGGAGAACAAGCAACAACAACGCTGGAGGACAGGGAGGTGGGTGGGTGGGCACACAAAGGCACGAGACTCGACAAGGCATAGGACAACAGGCAATGGCAAATAACAAGGGCTGGAAGTCACGGGGGAGGCAGGAGGGCAGACAAACAGCTCACGGCAAGAAAGGAAAGACAGATGGAAAATGGGAAAGGAAAGGGCATGAGGCAACAAGGCAAAGGAGAACAAGCAACAACAACGCTGGAGGACAGGGAGGTGGGTGGGTGGGCACACAAAGGCACGAGACTCGACAAGGCATAGGACAACAGGCAATGGCAAATAACAAGGGCTGGAAGTCACGGGGGAGGCAGGAGGGCAGACAAACAGCTCACGGCAAGAAAGGAAAGACAGATGGAAAATGGGAAAGGAAAGGGCATGAGGCAACAAGGCAAAGGAGAACAAGCAACAACAACGCTGGAGGACAGGGAGGTGGGTGGGTGGGCACACAAAGGCACGAGACTCGACAAGGCATAGGACAACAGGCAATGGCAAATAACAAGGGCTGGAAGTCACGGGGGAGGCAGGAGGGCAGACAAACAGCTCACGGCAAGAAAGGAAAGACAGATGGAAAATGGGAAAGGAAAGGGCATGAGGCAACAAGGCAAAGGAGAACAAGCAACAACAACGCTGGAGGACAGGGAGGTGGGTGGGTGGGCACACAAAGGCACGAGACTCGACAAGGCATAGGACAACAGGCAATGGCAAATAACAAGGGCTGGAAGTCACGGGGGAGGCAGGAGGGCAGACAAACAGCTCACGGCAAGAAAGGAAAGACAGATGGAAAATGGGAAAGGAAAGGGCATGAGGCAACAAGGCAAAGGAGAACAAGCAACAACAACGCTGGAGGACAGGGAGGTGGGTGGGTGGGCACACAAAGGCACGAGACTCGACAAGGCATAGGACAACAGGCAATGGCAAATAACAAGGGCTGGAAGTCACGGGGGAGGCAGGAGGGCAGACAAACAGCTCACGGCAAGAAAGGAAAGACAGATGGAAAATGGGAAAGGAAAGGGCATGAGGCAACAAGGCAAAGGAGAACAAGCAACAACAACGCTGGAGGACAGGGAGGTGGGTGGGTGGGCACACAAAGGCACGAGACTCGACAAGGCATAGGACAACAGGCAATGGCAAATAACAAGGGCTGGAAGTCACGGGGGAGGCAGGAGGGCAGACAAACAGCTCACGGCAAGAAAGGAAAGACAGATGGAAAATGGGAAAGGAAAGGGCATGAGGCAACAAGGCAAAGGAGAACAAGCAACAACAACGCTGGAGGACAGGGAGGTGGGTGGGTGGGCACACAAAGGCACGAGACTCGACAAGGCATAGGACAACAGGCAATGGCAAATAACAAGGGCTGGAAGTCACGGGGGAGGCAGGAGGGCAGACAAACAGCTCACGGCAAGAAAGGAAAGACAGATGGAAAATGGGAAAGGAAAGGGCATGAGGCAACAAGGCAAAGGAGAACAAGCAACAACAACGCTGGAGGACAGGGAGGTGGGTGGGTGGGCACACAAAGGCACGAGACTCGACAAGGCATAGGACAACAGGCAATGGCAAATAACAAGGGCTGGAAGTCACGGGGGAGGCAGGAGGGCAGACAAACAGCTCACGGCAAGAAAGGAAAGACAGATGGAAAATGGGAAAGGAAAGGGCATGAGGCAACAAGGCAAAGGAGAACAAGCAACAACAACGCTGGAGGACAGGGAGGTGGGTGGGTGGGCACACAAAGGCACGAGACTCGACAAGGCATAGGACAACAGGCAATGGCAAATAACAAGGGCTGGAAGTCACGGGGGAGGCAGGAGGGCAGACAAACAGCTCACGGCAAGAAAGGAAAGACAGATGGAAAATGGGAAAGGAAAGGGCATGAGGCAACAAGGCAAAGGAGAACAAGCAACAACAACGCTGGAGGACAGGGAGGTGGGTGGGTGGGCACACAAAGGCACGAGACTCGACAAGGCATAGGACAACAGGCAATGGCAAATAACAAGGGCTGGAAGTCACGGGGGAGGCAGGAGGGCAGACAAACAGCTCACGGCAAGAAAGGAAAGACAGATGGAAAATGGGAAAGGAAAGGGCATGAGGCAACAAGGCAAAGGAGAACAAGCAACAACAACGCTGGAGGACAGGGAGGTGGGTGGGTGGGCACACAAAGGCACGAGACTCGACAAGGCATAGGACAACAGGCAATGGCAAATAACAAGGGCTGGAAGTCACGGGGGAGGCAGGAGGGCAGACAAACAGCTCACGGCAAGAAAGGAAAGACAGATGGAAAATGGGAAAGGAAAGGGCATGAGGCAACAAGGCAAAGGAGAACAAGCAACAACAACGCTGGAGGACAGGGAGGTGGGTGGGTGGGCACACAAAGGCACGAGACTCGACAAGGCATAGGACAACAGGCAATGGCAAATAACAAGGGCTGGAAGTCACGGGGGAGGCAGGAGGGCAGACAAACAGCTCACGGCAAGAAAGGAAAGACAGATGGAAAATGGGAAAGGAAAGGGCATGAGGCAACAAGGCAAAGGAGAACAAGCAACAACAACGCTGGAGGACAGGGAGGTGGGTGGGTGGGCACACAAAGGCACGAGACTCGACAAGGCATAGGACAACAGGCAATGGCAAATAACAAGGGCTGGAAGTCACGGGGGAGGCAGGAGGGCAGACAAACAGCTCACGGCAAGAAAGGAAAGACAGATGGAAAATGGGAAAGGAAAGGGCATGAGGCAACAAGGCAAAGGAGAACAAGCAACAACAACGCTGGAGGACAGGGAGGTGGGTGGGTGGGCACACAAAGGCACGAGACTCGACAAGGCATAGGACAACAGGCAATGGCAAATAACAAGGGCTGGAAGTCACGGGGGAGGCAGGAGGGCAGACAAACAGCTCACGGCAAGAAAGGAAAGACAGATGGAAAATGGGAAAGGAAAGGGCATGAGGCAACAAGGCAAAGGAGAACAAGCAACAACAACGCTGGAGGACAGGGAGGTGGGTGGGTGGGCACACAAAGGCACGAGACTCGACAAGGCATAGGACAACAGGCAATGGCAAATAACAAGGGCTGGAAGTCACGGGGGAGGCAGGAGGGCAGACAAACAGCTCACGGCAAGAAAGGAAAGACAGATGGAAAATGGGAAAGGAAAGGGCATGAGGCAACAAGGCAAAGGAGAACAAGCAACAACAACGCTGGAGGACAGGGAGGTGGGTGGGTGGGCACACAAAGGCACGAGACTCGACAAGGCATAGGACAACAGGCAATGGCAAATAACAAGGGCTGGAAGTCACGGGGGAGGCAGGAGGGCAGACAAACAGCTCACGGCAAGAAAGGAAAGACAGATGGAAAATGGGAAAGGAAAGGGCATGAGGCAACAAGGCAAAGGAGAACAAGCAACAACAACGCTGGAGGACAGGGAGGTGGGTGGGTGGGCACACAAAGGCACGAGACTCGACAAGGCATAGGACAACAGGCAATGGCAAATAACAAGGGCTGGAAGTCACGGGGGAGGCAGGAGGGCAGACAAACAGCTCACGGCAAGAAAGGAAAGACAGATGGAAAATGGGAAAGGAAAGGGCATGAGGCAACAAGGCAAAGGAGAACAAGCAACAACAACGCTGGAGGACAGGGAGGTGGGTGGGTGGGCACACAAAGGCACGAGACTCGACAAGGCATAGGACAACAGGCAATGGCAAATAACAAGGGCTGGAAGTCACGGGGGAGGCAGGAGGGCAGACAAACAGCTCACGGCAAGAAAGGAAAGACAGATGGAAAATGGGAAAGGAAAGGGCATGAGGCAACAAGGCAAAGGAGAACAAGCAACAACAACGCTGGAGGACAGGGAGGTGGGTGGGTGGGCACACAAAGGCACGAGACTCGACAAGGCATAGGACAACAGGCAATGGCAAATAACAAGGGCTGGAAGTCACGGGGGAGGCAGGAGGGCAGACAAACAGCTCACGGCAAGAAAGGAAAGACAGATGGAAAATGGGAAAGGAAAGGGCATGAGGCAACAAGGCAAAGGAGAACAAGCAACAACAACGCTGGAGGACAGGGAGGTGGGTGGGTGGGCACACAAAGGCACGAGACTCGACAAGGCATAGGACAACAGGCAATGGCAAATAACAAGGGCTGGAAGTCACGGGGGAGGCAGGAGGGCAGACAAACAGCTCACGGCAAGAAAGGAAAGACAGATGGAAAATGGGAAAGGAAAGGGCATGAGGCAACAAGGCAAAGGAGAACAAGCAACAACAACGCTGGAGGACAGGGAGGTGGGTGGGTGGGCACACAAAGGCACGAGACTCGACAAGGCATAGGACAACAGGCAATGGCAAATAACAAGGGCTGGAAGTCACGGGGGAGGCAGGAGGGCAGACAAACAGCTCACGGCAAGAAAGGAAAGACAGATGGAAAATGGGAAAGGAAAGGGCATGAGGCAACAAGGCAAAGGAGAACAAGCAACAACAACGCTGGAGGACAGGGAGGTGGGTGGGTGGGCACACAAAGGCACGAGACTCGACAAGGCATAGGACAACAGGCAATGGCAAATAACAAGGGCTGGAAGTCACGGGGGAGGCAGGAGGGCAGACAAACAGCTCACGGCAAGAAAGGAAAGACAGATGGAAAATGGGAAAGGAAAGGGCATGAGGCAACAAGGCAAAGGAGAACAAGCAACAACAACGCTGGAGGACAGGGAGGTGGGTGGGTGGGCACACAAAGGCACGAGACTCGACAAGGCATAGGACAACAGGCAATGGCAAATAACAAGGGCTGGAAGTCACGGGGGAGGCAGGAGGGCAGACAAACAGCTCACGGCAAGAAAGGAAAGACAGATGGAAAATGGGAAAGGAAAGGGCATGAGGCAACAAGGCAAAGGAGAACAAGCAACAACAACGCTGGAGGACAGGGAGGTGGGTGGGTGGGCACACAAAGGCACGAGACTCGACAAGGCATAGGACAACAGGCAATGGCAAATAACAAGGGCTGGAAGTCACGGGGGAGGCAGGAGGGCAGACAAACAGCTCACGGCAAGAAAGGAAAGACAGATGGAAAATGGGAAAGGAAAGGGCATGAGGCAACAAGGCAAAGGAGAACAAGCAACAACAACGCTGGAGGACAGGGAGGTGGGTGGGTGGGCACACAAAGGCACGAGACTCGACAAGGCATAGGACAACAGGCAATGGCAAATAACAAGGGCTGGAAGTCACGGGGGAGGCAGGAGGGCAGACAAACAGCTCACGGCAAGAAAGGAAAGACAGATGGAAAATGGGAAAGGAAAGGGCATGAGGCAACAAGGCAAAGGAGAACAAGCAACAACAACGCTGGAGGACAGGGAGGTGGGTGGGTGGGCACACAAAGGCACGAGACTCGACAAGGCATAGGACAACAGGCAATGGCAAATAACAAGGGCTGGAAGTCACGGGGGAGGCAGGAGGGCAGACAAACAGCTCACGGCAAGAAAGGAAAGACAGATGGAAAATGGGAAAGGAAAGGGCATGAGGCAACAAGGCAAAGGAGAACAAGCAACAACAACGCTGGAGGACAGGGAGGTGGGTGGGTGGGCACACAAAGGCACGAGACTCGACAAGGCATAGGACAACAGGCAATGGCAAATAACAAGGGCTGGAAGTCACGGGGGAGGCAGGAGGGCAGACAAACAGCTCACGGCAAGAAAGGAAAGACAGATGGAAAATGGGAAAGGAAAGGGCATGAGGCAACAAGGCAAAGGAGAACAAGCAACAACAACGCTGGAGGACAGGGAGGTGGGTGGGTGGGCACACAAAGGCACGAGACTCGACAAGGCATAGGACAACAGGCAATGGCAAATAACAAGGGCTGGAAGTCACGGGGGAGGCAGGAGGGCAGACAAACAGCTCACGGCAAGAAAGGAAAGACAGATGGAAAATGGGAAAGGAAAGGGCATGAGGCAACAAGGCAAAGGAGAACAAGCAACAACAACGCTGGAGGACAGGGAGGTGGGTGGGTGGGCACACAAAGGCACGAGACTCGACAAGGCATAGGACAACAGGCAATGGCAAATAACAAGGGCTGGAAGTCACGGGGGAGGCAGGAGGGCAGACAAACAGCTCACGGCAAGAAAGGAAAGACAGATGGAAAATGGGAAAGGAAAGGGCATGAGGCAACAAGGCAAAGGAGAACAAGCAACAACAACGCTGGAGGACAGGGAGGTGGGTGGGTGGGCACACAAAGGCACGAGACTCGACAAGGCATAGGACAACAGGCAATGGCAAATAACAAGGGCTGGAAGTCACGGGGGAGGCAGGAGGGCAGACAAACAGCTCACGGCAAGAAAGGAAAGACAGATGGAAAATGGGAAAGGAAAGGGCATGAGGCAACAAGGCAAAGGAGAACAAGCAACAACAACGCTGGAGGACAGGGAGGTGGGTGGGTGGGCACACAAAGGCACGAGACTCGACAAGGCATAGGACAACAGGCAATGGCAAATAACAAGGGCTGGAAGTCACGGGGGAGGCAGGAGGGCAGACAAACAGCTCACGGCAAGAAAGGAAAGACAGATGGAAAATGGGAAAGGAAAGGGCATGAGGCAACAAGGCAAAGGAGAACAAGCAACAACAACGCTGGAGGACAGGGAGGTGGGTGGGTGGGCACACAAAGGCACGAGACTCGACAAGGCATAGGACAACAGGCAATGGCAAATAACAAGGGCTGGAAGTCACGGGGGAGGCAGGAGGGCAGACAAACAGCTCACGGCAAGAAAGGAAAGACAGATGGAAAATGGGAAAGGAAAGGGCATGAGGCAACAAGGCAAAGGAGAACAAGCAACAACAACGCTGGAGGACAGGGAGGTGGGTGGGTGGGCACACAAAGGCACGAGACTCGACAAGGCATAGGACAACAGGCAATGGCAAATAACAAGGGCTGGAAGTCACGGGGGAGGCAGGAGGGCAGACAAACAGCTCACGGCAAGAAAGGAAAGACAGATGGAAAATGGGAAAGGAAAGGGCATGAGGCAACAAGGCAAAGGAGAACAAGCAACAACAACGCTGGAGGACAGGGAGGTGGGTGGGTGGGCACACAAAGGCACGAGACTCGACAAGGCATAGGACAACAGGCAATGGCAAATAACAAGGGCTGGAAGTCACGGGGGAGGCAGGAGGGCAGACAAACAGCTCACGGCAAGAAAGGAAAGACAGATGGAAAATGGGAAAGGAAAGGGCATGAGGCAACAAGGCAAAGGAGAACAAGCAACAACAACGCTGGAGGACAGGGAGGTGGGTGGGTGGGCACACAAAGGCACGAGACTCGACAAGGCATAGGACAACAGGCAATGGCAAATAACAAGGGCTGGAAGTCACGGGGGAGGCAGGAGGGCAGACAAACAGCTCACGGCAAGAAAGGAAAGACAGATGGAAAATGGGAAAGGAAAGGGCATGAGGCAACAAGGCAAAGGAGAACAAGCAACAACAACGCTGGAGGACAGGGAGGTGGGTGGGTGGGCACACAAAGGCACGAGACTCGACAAGGCATAGGACAACAGGCAATGGCAAATAACAAGGGCTGGAAGTCACGGGGGAGGCAGGAGGGCAGACAAACAGCTCACGGCAAGAAAGGAAAGACAGATGGAAAATGGGAAAGGAAAGGGCATGAGGCAACAAGGCAAAGGAGAACAAGCAACAACAACGCTGGAGGACAGGGAGGTGGGTGGGTGGGCACACAAAGGCACGAGACTCGACAAGGCATAGGACAACAGGCAATGGCAAATAACAAGGGCTGGAAGTCACGGGGGAGGCAGGAGGGCAGACAAACAGCTCACGGCAAGAAAGGAAAGACAGATGGAAAATGGGAAAGGAAAGGGCATGAGGCAACAAGGCAAAGGAGAACAAGCAACAACAACGCTGGAGGACAGGGAGGTGGGTGGGTGGGCACACAAAGGCACGAGACTCGACAAGGCATAGGACAACAGGCAATGGCAAATAACAAGGGCTGGAAGTCACGGGGGAGGCAGGAGGGCAGACAAACAGCTCACGGCAAGAAAGGAAAGACAGATGGAAAATGGGAAAGGAAAGGGCATGAGGCAACAAGGCAAAGGAGAACAAGCAACAACAACGCTGGAGGACAGGGAGGTGGGTGGGTGGGCACACAAAGGCACGAGACTCGACAAGGCATAGGACAACAGGCAATGGCAAATAACAAGGGCTGGAAGTCACGGGGGAGGCAGGAGGGCAGACAAACAGCTCACGGCAAGAAAGGAAAGACAGATGGAAAATGGGAAAGGAAAGGGCATGAGGCAACAAGGCAAAGGAGAACAAGCAACAACAACGCTGGAGGACAGGGAGGTGGGTGGGTGGGCACACAAAGGCACGAGACTCGACAAGGCATAGGACAACAGGCAATGGCAAATAACAAGGGCTGGAAGTCACGGGGGAGGCAGGAGGGCAGACAAACAGCTCACGGCAAGAAAGGAAAGACAGATGGAAAATGGGAAAGGAAAGGGCATGAGGCAACAAGGCAAAGGAGAACAAGCAACAACAACGCTGGAGGACAGGGAGGTGGGTGGGTGGGCACACAAAGGCACGAGACTCGACAAGGCATAGGACAACAGGCAATGGCAAATAACAAGGGCTGGAAGTCACGGGGGAGGCAGGAGGGCAGACAAACAGCTCACGGCAAGAAAGGAAAGACAGATGGAAAATGGGAAAGGAAAGGGCATGAGGCAACAAGGCAAAGGAGAACAAGCAACAACAACGCTGGAGGACAGGGAGGTGGGTGGGTGGGCACACAAAGGCACGAGACTCGACAAGGCATAGGACAACAGGCAATGGCAAATAACAAGGGCTGGAAGTCACGGGGGAGGCAGGAGGGCAGACAAACAGCTCACGGCAAGAAAGGAAAGACAGATGGAAAATGGGAAAGGAAAGGGCATGAGGCAACAAGGCAAAGGAGAACAAGCAACAACAACGCTGGAGGACAGGGAGGTGGGTGGGTGGGCACACAAAGGCACGAGACTCGACAAGGCATAGGACAACAGGCAATGGCAAATAACAAGGGCTGGAAGTCACGGGGGAGGCAGGAGGGCAGACAAACAGCTCACGGCAAGAAAGGAAAGACAGATGGAAAATGGGAAAGGAAAGGGCATGAGGCAACAAGGCAAAGGAGAACAAGCAACAACAACGCTGGAGGACAGGGAGGTGGGTGGGTGGGCACACAAAGGCACGAGACTCGACAAGGCATAGGACAACAGGCAATGGCAAATAACAAGGGCTGGAAGTCACGGGGGAGGCAGGAGGGCAGACAAACAGCTCACGGCAAGAAAGGAAAGACAGATGGAAAATGGGAAAGGAAAGGGCATGAGGCAACAAGGCAAAGGAGAACAAGCAACAACAACGCTGGAGGACAGGGAGGTGGGTGGGTGGGCACACAAAGGCACGAGACTCGACAAGGCATAGGACAACAGGCAATGGCAAATAACAAGGGCTGGAAGTCACGGGGGAGGCAGGAGGGCAGACAAACAGCTCACGGCAAGAAAGGAAAGACAGATGGAAAATGGGAAAGGAAAGGGCATGAGGCAACAAGGCAAAGGAGAACAAGCAACAACAACGCTGGAGGACAGGGAGGTGGGTGGGTGGGCACACAAAGGCACGAGACTCGACAAGGCATAGGACAACAGGCAATGGCAAATAACAAGGGCTGGAAGTCACGGGGGAGGCAGGAGGGCAGACAAACAGCTCACGGCAAGAAAGGAAAGACAGATGGAAAATGGGAAAGGAAAGGGCATGAGGCAACAAGGCAAAGGAGAACAAGCAACAACAACGCTGGAGGACAGGGAGGTGGGTGGGTGGGCACACAAAGGCACGAGACTCGACAAGGCATAGGACAACAGGCAATGGCAAATAACAAGGGCTGGAAGTCACGGGGGAGGCAGGAGGGCAGACAAACAGCTCACGGCAAGAAAGGAAAGACAGATGGAAAATGGGAAAGGAAAGGGCATGAGGCAACAAGGCAAAGGAGAACAAGCAACAACAACGCTGGAGGACAGGGAGGTGGGTGGGTGGGCACACAAAGGCACGAGACTCGACAAGGCATAGGACAACAGGCAATGGCAAATAACAAGGGCTGGAAGTCACGGGGGAGGCAGGAGGGCAGACAAACAGCTCACGGCAAGAAAGGAAAGACAGATGGAAAATGGGAAAGGAAAGGGCATGAGGCAACAAGGCAAAGGAGAACAAGCAACAACAACGCTGGAGGACAGGGAGGTGGGTGGGTGGGCACACAAAGGCACGAGACTCGACAAGGCATAGGACAACAGGCAATGGCAAATAACAAGGGCTGGAAGTCACGGGGGAGGCAGGAGGGCAGACAAACAGCTCACGGCAAGAAAGGAAAGACAGATGGAAAATGGGAAAGGAAAGGGCATGAGGCAACAAGGCAAAGGAGAACAAGCAACAACAACGCTGGAGGACAGGGAGGTGGGTGGGTGGGCACACAAAGGCACGAGACTCGACAAGGCATAGGACAACAGGCAATGGCAAATAACAAGGGCTGGAAGTCACGGGGGAGGCAGGAGGGCAGACAAACAGCTCACGGCAAGAAAGGAAAGACAGATGGAAAATGGGAAAGGAAAGGGCATGAGGCAACAAGGCAAAGGAGAACAAGCAACAACAACGCTGGAGGACAGGGAGGTGGGTGGGTGGGCACACAAAGGCACGAGACTCGACAAGGCATAGGACAACAGGCAATGGCAAATAACAAGGGCTGGAAGTCACGGGGGAGGCAGGAGGGCAGACAAACAGCTCACGGCAAGAAAGGAAAGACAGATGGAAAATGGGAAAGGAAAGGGCATGAGGCAACAAGGCAAAGGAGAACAAGCAACAACAACGCTGGAGGACAGGGAGGTGGGTGGGTGGGCACACAAAGGCACGAGACTCGACAAGGCATAGGACAACAGGCAATGGCAAATAACAAGGGCTGGAAGTCACGGGGGAGGCAGGAGGGCAGACAAACAGCTCACGGCAAGAAAGGAAAGACAGATGGAAAATGGGAAAGGAAAGGGCATGAGGCAACAAGGCAAAGGAGAACAAGCAACAACAACGCTGGAGGACAGGGAGGTGGGTGGGTGGGCACACAAAGGCACGAGACTCGACAAGGCATAGGACAACAGGCAATGGCAAATAACAAGGGCTGGAAGTCACGGGGGAGGCAGGAGGGCAGACAAACAGCTCACGGCAAGAAAGGAAAGACAGATGGAAAATGGGAAAGGAAAGGGCATGAGGCAACAAGGCAAAGGAGAACAAGCAACAACAACGCTGGAGGACAGGGAGGTGGGTGGGTGGGCACACAAAGGCACGAGACTCGACAAGGCATAGGACAACAGGCAATGGCAAATAACAAGGGCTGGAAGTCACGGGGGAGGCAGGAGGGCAGACAAACAGCTCACGGCAAGAAAGGAAAGACAGATGGAAAATGGGAAAGGAAAGGGCATGAGGCAACAAGGCAAAGGAGAACAAGCAACAACAACGCTGGAGGACAGGGAGGTGGGTGGGTGGGCACACAAAGGCACGAGACTCGACAAGGCATAGGACAACAGGCAATGGCAAATAACAAGGGCTGGAAGTCACGGGGGAGGCAGGAGGGCAGACAAACAGCTCACGGCAAGAAAGGAAAGACAGATGGAAAATGGGAAAGGAAAGGGCATGAGGCAACAAGGCAAAGGAGAACAAGCAACAACAACGCTGGAGGACAGGGAGGTGGGTGGGTGGGCACACAAAGGCACGAGACTCGACAAGGCATAGGACAACAGGCAATGGCAAATAACAAGGGCTGGAAGTCACGGGGGAGGCAGGAGGGCAGACAAACAGCTCACGGCAAGAAAGGAAAGACAGATGGAAAATGGGAAAGGAAAGGGCATGAGGCAACAAGGCAAAGGAGAACAAGCAACAACAACGCTGGAGGACAGGGAGGTGGGTGGGTGGGCACACAAAGGCACGAGACTCGACAAGGCATAGGACAACAGGCAATGGCAAATAACAAGGGCTGGAAGTCACGGGGGAGGCAGGAGGGCAGACAAACAGCTCACGGCAAGAAAGGAAAGACAGATGGAAAATGGGAAAGGAAAGGGCATGAGGCAACAAGGCAAAGGAGAACAAGCAACAACAACGCTGGAGGACAGGGAGGTGGGTGGGTGGGCACACAAAGGCACGAGACTCGACAAGGCATAGGACAACAGGCAATGGCAAATAACAAGGGCTGGAAGTCACGGGGGAGGCAGGAGGGCAGACAAACAGCTCACGGCAAGAAAGGAAAGACAGATGGAAAATGGGAAAGGAAAGGGCATGAGGCAACAAGGCAAAGGAGAACAAGCAACAACAACGCTGGAGGACAGGGAGGTGGGTGGGTGGGCACACAAAGGCACGAGACTCGACAAGGCATAGGACAACAGGCAATGGCAAATAACAAGGGCTGGAAGTCACGGGGGAGGCAGGAGGGCAGACGACACACAAGCACACAAAACAGGCAAACCAGAAAATCACAAGGCCAAAAATTTCAAAAGATCGAAAGAAAAGAAAAAAAAAATTGATGATAGATTGTTTCGTCGGAGTTGCACCGACTCATCAGGAGGCTGAACCCTCGACAATCTGCGGAATCTCCGTATTGATGGTTTGGGTCATGAACCCTTTGATCCATGTTTGTTGAAGGCAGACTGTCCACAAGTGGAACACAGCAGCAGGGCAGCAACTCAGCGAAGCACCATGCAACGCTGCCCCGCTGCCGGAGCAACCGGACTGCACAACGCCAAAAACGACACTGCAAGCGGACGAGCAGCAGGGCAACTGTGCAGCGAAGCACAAGGCAGCACCAACACAGCAGCCATATACTACACAGCACACAAGCAAGGAACACAGAATGCACGGCACGCGGATAGGCAAGCGGACGAGCAGCAGGGCAACAGCGCGGTGAAGCACAGAGCAGCACCAACACAGCAGCCACACTACACGGCACACAAGCAAAGAACACGGAAGGCAAGGCTCATGGATGGGCAGCAAGGCAGCAGTGCAGGGAAGCACAGGGCGACACTAACACCACAACCACACCACACAGTGAACAAACAGCCTTGCAAAGAACTACATGCAACACAAGCAGGACGGACAGCAAGGCAGCAGCAGAGCGCAGACAAGGCAGTCTACACATGCAACATGGACCAAAGCGGCACATCATCTACTTACACCATGATTGAACCCCAGAGACTGTTGGTTCCCACCACCCGCTGAGCCAGGGAATCACCCAGACGAACATCCGTCATCACCCACAGGAAACACAGACATCCCAAACCGAGCGGCCCCCTAAGAATGCTGTAGGAGCTCCAAACAATGGACCACCTACTGTTTAGCACTTCTTGAGGGTGCTCACTCCAACAGACAGAAAGTACTTGGGAAAAAAATTGGGGCAAGGAGAAAAAACAAGAAAACAGACAGACACACCTAACTGATTGTGTGTGTGTGTGTGTGTGTGTGTGTGTGTGTGTGTGTGTGTGTGTGTGTGTTTTAAATTTTCACCGCAGCAGCCCCTATTCCACGCAGATGAGTAGATGCAAAATAGAAGCAGCTTTAAAGCACAAGTACACGGCCCTACCCTTGCAGCAAAACATCTTGTCGCCACACGATTGTTTTTGCGGCTAGGGCCTACCGGACCACAAGGGCTGGCGCCGCCAGCCAAAAAAGGAAAGAAGTGCCGCGCTGGCAGTTAGGAAAGTGCGCCACTGGCGGTTCGGAAAAAGAGGCCTGGGTGTACTGCTGGCTTAAGCCCATTGCAGACAACGAAGGCCCTTGAGTTGAGACAGTCCAATAATGAAACAGTTTCACCTCCATAGCAACTATTAGCAAGCAACATGGAGTATACTAGAAGCGTTTAAATCCCTTTCTTAAATGTGTTCACTTTTACTTTCTTTGGGAGGTACCCCTTTCGTTTGTTTTTGTGGCTCCCCTTTTACTGTGCCTCTCATGTACAAGGCTCGCCACGTTGATTGTGGTTGAGTGCGAGCTGCCCACATCCCCGTGTGCCACAACGGCACACTTTCACACTATGAAAGGAGACAGAGTAAAGGTGGAGGTATATTCCATCTTCATTTTCACTCAAGATTTCCTTAGATCTTCGTCCTATATTTTGTATGCTGTCTTAATGATGGCCATTCGTATGCATTTACTAATAGTACACAAGAAGAGGGAGGAAGGCAATGGGAGGTGCATTTCTGACAAGGTTCTAGATACTCACTGGTGGAGCAGACTACTCTAGAATGTCACGTAATGCCAGTCAGTGTTTGCCACTGTTTGCGTTGCATACGACTTTGAATAGTGAGCAGTCGTTACGTATAGTAAGTAGCCACCTCTACAGACCGGACCGGACTGGACTAGACTGGACCGGTGCGGGTGTGAACTCTGCAAGCACCGCATCCAATTCTTGCAGGCGCAGTTCCTGCATGTGTGTGTGTGGGGGGGGGGGG